TCTACCTAGTCTACTGTGCTTCTACCTAGTCTACTAGATATTGTATTGAACGAGTATTGCATCAAATGAGCGCATTGGCAGACTTCGGGACGGGCTATTTATTTCTCATCGGATGCAAACTGCCTGGTGTGAGCGTTCGGATGGCACAGTTAGATGATTATCTCGGATCCCTTTATGCGTTAGTTTGAGTTACGACTTATTGATCTAAATTACTATTAATATATCGTCAATATTGAGCTAGTTAGTTTTTTTTTTGTAACGTTACCCCTACACTAGGATTCTCTTCTGTATCGTGGAGGCAATTTACAAAAATATTATTTGTAGGTCATACAATTACTTGTTCTGTTCGGGATTCGAACCCCCGGCTATCAGATAAGCCACTGCGACACGGAGCCGTCAGCTGTCGTGAGTGAACAAAGTACGCAGAGAACGGGAAGATAGTAAAATAAACAAGGAAACGAGTTTCCGTTAGAATAACTATATAGGCAATTTTAAGCTTACTCGTAACTGTGTAAACAGCGGAATATTTAACCTTTCTAAAATTAAATTAATTGAATGAAAGGCTGGATGAATCCACTTCCACTATAGATTTTTTTCCACAACGGAAGCGATCAAACCAAAAACTCGTCATGTGTTCATTTGCGATACATTCAGTGCGATTGCGTAACTCTGGTGGGAATTGTGGTTGACTTTCGTTTGATGTTAGACATTTGGTTTTGTTGTATTATGTAAATGTAACAGTATCGATTATAGGAGAACTGATGTATTTTTGTGAAAACTTCTTTAGGCACGTTTTCGGACACTTTTGGGACATATATACAGATATATATAAAAATATGTGTATATGTTTATGTGTATTTGTTTGTATGCGTGCGTGCGTGCGTGCTTGCGTGCTTGCGTGTACGTGTGCGTGTGCGTGTATGTGTGTGTGTGTGTGTGTGTGTGTGTGTGTGTGTGTGTATGTGTGTGTGTGTGTGTGTGTGTGTGTGTGTGTGTGTGTGTGTGTGTGTGTGTGTGTGTGTGTGTGTGTGTGTTTCCGCGCGCGTGTGTGTGTGTGTGTTTTGTGTGTGTGTGTGTGTGTGTGTCTGTGTATGTGTGTGTTTATAGTTTTTTTTAATTAATATCGTATTTTAGGTTAAAAAAATATTATTGTACATATTACATAATGAAATAACATAACATAGTCAAAGTCAAATATTTTTATTCAAATTGGCTTTTGTAAAGTAAAGGTACGCGCCATTATTGCAATAAACTCGTACTGCGGACTGCATTATGAGAAGACGCGACAAGAAACAAACAGATAATTTTTCCCCTAACCGTTATAATTCAATCATAATGATATTTAATATTTAAGTAAATAAAGGTCTCAGGAAATTCGTTATGTCCACTAATTCTTATCTTTTTAAATAATCATCTAATTTATATCGTAATATCCTTTCTTTGTAAGAATTCTTTTAGTGTTAGCTTATATCAGGCACAGCGATATCGAAGAAAAAACCAAATTGCACTTTATAGCTAGGTACGTATGGAAGAAACAAGAAATGGGAAAACTAAATGTAAACCTCATTTTTAAATTGCATAAGATATACAGAATTTGGAATTCCAAGTCGAATATGAGTAATAAAACTTCAAAATAGCTAGGCAAGTTATTAAAAAAGTATACATACGAGTATATAAAAACTATATGTTTAAGATAAAAAATGGTTTTTACTTGAACTCAGTAGTAGTAAACATCAATCACAAACGCCACTGATTCTTGGCAAAACGCTTGTTGTTTTTGCCAAACGTAGCAAATTACATGCTGCGTTTAACTTTTTCACCGTCTATTATTTCCTGGTGCGTTAATTTTTTTCACGTCTGTGTTTTCCGTTGTTCACTTTTTGCCAAGAAAATCATTTAAAATCGCTAAGTGATATCTTAAAATAATTAAGCAAGTTCGAATGTCGTTTGTATTTGCGAAAGATCGTACCGTACTTTTTTGAACAAAATGTAAATGAAGACTCAATTTCAGTTCAGTTTACTTCTGTTAGCTGACACTGTCTATGTCCTATTAAATTCTTAGTCGGTCAATTTAAAAAAAAAGCTTCGTTAGCCTTTTTAATGTAATTTTTACTAAATTATGACAACATTAAGATGATTACGGCTTAATATCGATATTTAAATTGAATGAATAAGTATTATTGTCCATTATTATACCGTATTCCATATAACATGTGGAAGATGCAATTACTTATATACATCAGGACTACAAACACCTCCGTTTTCCCCGTGATTATAAGTGCAGATGCGTTGACAACAAAGAATATAAAAATGTAACGCTCCGTTACTAGTTGAACGGGTCTCGGCTGATCTGCCTCTGGTTACTCGCCATACAAAACTCAGTAGCACTACGCTGTTATTTTACGTTGGCATTCCATGATCTTTTGGTTTTTTCCCCGTCAAGCCGTCCCAGTCGTGTAGCAGCCACATACTGCTGATACGTGGCTTCAACACGTATTATAAATTTTTAAAGCTTATTAAATTATTGCTATCGTTATTTTGGTATCATAAGGATTTGTACTTGTTGTTTATTTATAATGGCAAGTTCAATTAATCCGGCAATTTGGCAAGGTTTCGCATCTGGTTATGAAAACAAGCCATCCGTTACATTGAGATATGAATATTGTCGGTGTATATTTTGGTGGAAAACATTAATATACGGTAATTAGTTACAACATTTATACTTAAGTCACTTTCTTGTTTGTCTGTTTGAAAGCTGGAGGATGAGCTGGAAACTTGGTTAATTTTGAATATAGCTCAAATTCGGATGACAATGCAAGAATATGATTAAAAAAAAACACTTTTTGACGGTTGACAAACGAACAGACTTCTTACGTTGAAAAAATAGTTAATTTTAAATAAATATATTGTGTGAATTTAAATAAAAATTAATAATGTTAGTTAAATTTTTCATTTAATTTGTATAAAACAATTTTTGGCCGCGAATTTCTTCGTTGCCTATAAATTTTGTATATTCTTAAGTCTTTATTTGTGATCAAATCGAAACAAAAATTAAAGTTATTATAACTTAAACAGTACTATTAAAACCATGTATTATACATAACACTATGAAAAATGTAAGAAATACCTTTATTATGGAATGACTATACAACAATTATTGAATTTAAATTTTGTCCAACACAAAAAAATCATCAAATTTCTACGTAGTATGGTGCCGTTTTACCTAGAATTACTAGGTAATTATCACACTCTCAAAGTCTCCCCACGGTTGAACTTCGATTTTCATGTTAAGAAAGCTGCGAGGCAATCAATCTTATTATCTGCTCATGGTTCAGGGTGACAAAGCACCTATAGTCTTGTTTTTTGATATCGGTTGCAGGCGTCTATGGGTCACAGTAACCACTTGTTTGCAAGCTTGTTGACAAGCTTGTTTGTCACTGTAATAAATATAAAATAACGGTTATTATTTCAGAACCATCAAACATGACAAAAAGTCGAATTGCCGTAAGAACTTTAGTAATTGCATGTTTATATTTGTTAAATCAGGTATAAAAACACTAAAGATTAAAAAAAATACATTAGACTCGTCTATTTTAAACTAATATTTCTATTTGTAATTGTATAACGTCCTCCAATGATTCCGGTTGAGTGCTAATGTACTAGCTTAACCGACTAATCGATATATTTTAAGATTCGCCATTTCAATTTTAAAAATAAATACCATAAATATATTTACTTATTTATTACTCACGTCTAAGGGATTATCACTAAGATCTTGAAAAGAGTTTAGAACTGAAATTTGCATTCTTATTGTTCAAAGTAATTTATTAATGACATGTTTGAAATTCTTTAAGAATTAAGCGAGTCTGAATTGAAGCCTAATGTTGAAACGTTGATAGTCTGTTACTTTTACTTTTTACAAAAATAAAAATGCGTTCTTTACTTTCTTTTTTTTTCATTTTAAATATGAAATAAGACAACAATATTCTAAGCATATATTATGTCATAATATTTAATTCCATTCGTTGCAATATATTATACAATTTAAGTAATGCGTTGTTGCTGTTTTATCTTACCAACATTTTAAACACTCCAAAATTTATTAATTCATAAAATCAATATAAATTTTAATTAAATTAAACGTTTACATTTTCTGAATTCACTACTATGACCTAGTATTCTCACAAGAATCATCACAGCTTATTCTCGCATCATCATCAATGCATGTGATTAAATTTTTTAGACTCTAATATTACGTAATTAAAGTTAACTTTGCTTCCCACTCTTGGGACCAGGCCTCCTCTCATTTTTAAGAGATTTTTAGGGCAAAGAAATGCCCGCCACGACACGATGCCCCAGTGCGTATTGGCGAACTTCACATGTTCTCAATATATATTTTTTATTTCTCCAACATGCAGATTTTTCTCAAGATATTTTCCTTCACCGCCAACTACGTGCTAAATCAGCACTTTAAAATTGCCATTACAAATTAATTTGTGTCGGCAGGGATTGAACCCGGGTTGTTTGCTTACTGTGAAATTTGCAGCGAGCGATGAGCCCCTTAACTACCACGGCTATTCTTATTTAATAATTTGTTATAATGCCTCTTATTTATAACAAAGACAAAAATAACTTTCCTCTTTTGCTGTTTCTAGTAAAGATAACATAATAATTTATGTGTCGTGTGTATTAAATGATAATTAAATAATGTGGGATCGTAAAATTGTGAAGGTCCATCAGTCGGACCAGTTGCACTTCGAAATGTAAGTCAACTAAAATAGTCGAGCGAGCGACCGTCCGGCGACGGCGACCGAGTTAGCCGGCGCAGTGCGCCCGCGAAGCCCTCTCGGGCCGGTTCTATTTCCAACCGATGTCCCGAAGCATCCCGATCCGCTCGCGACAATAATACTGCACGCGATGGTGAAATGGCACTGGATTTTCGTCGCGGGAAAAACTTTCGCCACTGTAGAAAACGCAAGTGCATCTAAGCGTATACAACAATGCCGCACGCGCAAAATGGAGCCCGTACGAGAAACATCAACGGAATAAATGGTATAGGAAAACCACTTAAGCTTCAAATATCAGATAAAAAGTCAAACGGCATATTAACACCTACTTCTAATGGAGCACTATCGCCAAATTCCAATGGGCCTCTCTCACCACCCATTTTGGATGCGACTCCAAAGAAACCGCCTAAAGCACCGCCAAGTCGGCCCATTCTGCCAGCGAAAAAGTCTAAAACGCTGCCGATTAACCTTGAAGAAAAAGTACCGCCGAAAGTTTCGACGAGCATCATCAGTGGTAAAAAACTTTTGATTACCAAGCCCTTGAAAGAAGTGCAAACGATTCAACAGAATACTCCTGAAAATGGAAAACTGTTACTGACTCGTCCACCAAGTCCCTCATACAAGAGGACCATGTCATTGTCAGTAGAAACAGGGTCTATCGCGGAGCTTGCAAAAAGGCACGGAACGAACGGCAGTATTCTAGTATCCCGTTCACCAAGTCCATCGTCTTATAGTAGTATAAGGAGTTCAACAAGTCAATATTCAACATGCAGTAGCAATGGCACCTTCGTACCTTTATCTAGATCGTCCAGCATGAACTCAACATTGTACGATAGAACCCCAACGCCTCGTAGAATGTATCCGCAGTCTTGTGAAAACATCAATGGTGTTGATTTGAAAGAACTAAGATCTAAAGAACAGTCTCCAGTTGTGTTTGATGCTAATCTATCTTTTGTACTGGGATGCAATAAGCAGCCGATTCGGCAAAAGTTTAAGCCGGTAGCTGCTCATTTAGAAGAAGGGACGTCTTCCAACTATTTAAGCAATAAAATCGATAATTTTCTCAAAAGAACCGATCATGTTATGGACGAATGGCGTAGGCTAGGACACAAGGATGAACCAGATTTAGATAAATACTGCGGTGGTCAGAAGAAAAGGATTGGTAGATCCAAATCAGCAACTAATATCATGATTAAAGGATTTACATTATTTAGCCGCAGTGGTAGTAGAGCGAGTAGTGTTTGCAGATCTAACCGAGAAATTTCTGAAGACAGAACAACCGTCTCTGAAATGGACGAGGTTGGTGAATTATCTTCCACAAGTTTTACTGCGAGCGTTACTTGCTTTCGAATATTTTATATAGCAAAAGGCAACCTATCTTATACAGTAAACTTTTCTTGGCCTTTCAAATTATAACTTTCCGAGCTAACGGTGGCGCTATAACACTTGCGTCCTTTGGCTAGTTATTAACGTGTAGCGTGACTGATGCCAGAAATATTTTTATTCATTGTTTTTTATAAACCTCTATACCAATGAGTGAAATTCTTGGCCGTTTGTCATAGCAAAAAATCAACGTTGTCATTTAAACTAAAAGCGGAAGTGTCACTTTTACGAGGAGAGACTATAATGGTTACATAATTTGACACAAACGCGGTCTTAAACTAAGAGGAAGCGTTATGTACATTTGGCAGCAGTAAAGCTGCAAGCAATGTAAATTACAGAAATGTTTGTTATGGACGAACCTCCCACTCGCGTCGTCAGTGCGTTCCAATTTTAAACCGTAACCTGCTGTTTGAAATATTACCAGCTTGTTATTAGACCGCTCAGAGTCGAGGTTGATGATAAATAATGCGTTAATTAAAACCTTTTTACACACTTAATATAATGGCCGTTGTTAGATTCAGATAAATTATAGAAGCTATAAATAATGCCTGTTGTTGTAATATACTTGTTTGTATCATATGACTTTAATGTGAAGGTCTTAAATTGCTTTATTCGTCTTATGTTTACACTGTCTGTTACGGATTAAGGTTTCATTTCAATGCTCATTTTATTTATTCTTTCTAACACAGAAAAACAGTTCAATTCTATTCACATAACATTATTATTTATAATAAAATAGTTATTTTTACACGAGACCGCAGAAAGCACAAATAATTTTCGTCTAACACAATAAAACAGTATTACACTTTGTTATATTTACAGTTGACTGTCTCGTTGGTCTAGTGGTTGTAGTAGTGCGACTGCTTATAATGAGGTCCTGGTTTCGAATCCCGGGTCGGGCCAAAAATCAATTATTGAGTTTTTCTGTCAAGAAATTCTCAATAACTGCCCGGAGTCAGGAAGTTGGCCGTGTCTCACCCCCGTGCCTCGGAAAGCACGTAAAGCCGTTGGTCCTGCGCCTAATATCTCTCCGGTCGTATCGGTTTACCGTCCCATCGCATTATGAGAGTGAGGGAATAGAGAGTATACCTGTGCTTGCCTATACACTTGGGCACTATAATCCTGTCCTGCGCCGATGGCTAGCCTCCGTTGAGGCAGGCCGCCGTGGCCGAAATTCGGTCTGGAGGACATTATTATATTTACAGCGAGAGAGAAAACCCTCTCCGAAATGAGGGGAGGCTTGTGCCCAGCAGTGGGACGTATATAGGCTGTAATTTTACTTTACTTTTCTTTTTACACTTAGTTAAAATGTATGTGCTTCTATAACGAAGTTCTCATTGCCGACAGCTATCAGAATTGGGCGGTGAGTTAGCAGAGGAACGCGCGGCGGCCGCTTTAGCGACTGAGCGAGCTGACGCCGAAGCGGCTGAGAGGCTGAGAATTGAGAGGGACAATAGGGATTTGGTTGCTAATAATCAGCGGCTCCAGCAGGTAATTTCCATTAGATACTATTTTCTATTATAATAAGCGTTCAATCTGCTGCATAGTTTTCCCAAACATTGTTATTTTTACATATTTGTTTTTCTACGCAGTCCAACCTGGGGATGAGTGGATGCCGTGACACATAGACACCTCTAGTTTTCGTCGAGTAAAAATCAATATGCATTTTCGTTGTCACTGACTTAGATGGAATGCCTTTTCTAACAATTAAAAAGTTCTCTGGTTCCTGTCACTTACCATATGAAACATAGCAGCACTATACTGCTATTTCACTCTGTTTTATGTGCAAGGGTAGTTCTTCCCGCGCGAACCAACCCGGACGTGGTATAACCACGTTGCAGCTATATTCGTTGTAGCACGAATGGGTCGGCTCAACCAGGTTCCACCGGGACCACGCTTTCTCAGAATACCACCGTAAAATAGCAGCTTAAGGCTCCTGTGTTTCTTATGGTGAGTGTAAAGAACCGGAGACCTTTTTTACTGGAAACGAGACATTCCATCTTAGTCCTCAGGGGTGACAACGCATTTGCATTTTGAATCTTAATCGATGATAAATGTAAGTCTATGGGCCACAGCATCCACTTACTATTAAGCTGGACTGTGTGTTGGTTTGTCAAATTTATTATATAAAAAAGCGTCTATCAACCACATACATCATACGTAATATGTACGTTCCTTATATAAATACTATAATGTCCTCTCAGTGCGCCATTTATTCATTATGAGTACGTTACTAAAACAGCACTTAAAATCGCCCTGCAGAAGAAAGGTCACTGATAAAAGACGCAAACATGAAGTAATTGAAACTAACAATAGAATAAGGCATTCTTTCATGCATGGGTTTTTTACATTCCTTGGCCATTTTCTGTATAATCAAGTCAATACAATTTGGTACATGTATCCTTTAAAAATGGCAGATTTTAAAATGTAATTCGTACATGTTTACAAAATTTGTGATAGGATGATACGGAAAAGTTGCTGATTGTTTCATGTCAATTTATATCATAAGTAAATTAATGATAATATATTTCACTCAAATAGCCCTAATTAGTTTGTATGTTTTTCATTTTATATAAGAGACAGAAAATATTTGTTAATGTATCTCTTAGCACATACACCTGAGATACAGGTTTATCCTTGTTCAAGGTGCCTGTAATTGTAAACTATTTTAAATTGAGACATTATTGCATTAAATGTTTTTTACTACATTTTATTAATTTAACATTATTATTATTATACAATGCTATTATTCATACTATTTTATTCTGGTAATAAATAAAAATACGATATAAGACGTACCTTGTATAAACATTTGGTTTATAGACAGAAACTCAGTGCTAAACCACGGAACCGACGATTCGTTACAGCCTATCCATTGAAGTAAAAGTCCACTGCTGAACTGATACTCTATGTGCATGCATACCTATGTTCAGCAGTGGAATTTTAACAGGCCGAAATGATCAATAACATCATTTACTTTTATGATTCATATAATATATTTCAATTTCCATAAGTGACTGCTACTATATACTATCTTATATAACTATTCGCGCAAGGCAGAAATTAATACCATACTTAATTGTGTTCTAGGCATCCGAACGTCTGGAACTAGAGCTTCTTCACTGGCGCTCGGCGGAGAACGGAGTAGAACCTTCCGACTCCGAGGGTTCAGAGGCGGAAAGTGGAATTGGCAGCGAGAAATACAAGCGTCGGTACGAACAGGCTCACAGAGAGTTGCAACTACTGCGTGCACAACTTCGACGGCAGCACGAGGATGACTTGGAGCAGCTTGTCACAGTTAAGAAGCAACTCGAGAAGAAGGTTTGTAACATTTCCTACAGTGCAATTAAAGAAACTTTGTATTGACGGTGGATGGAAGATTGAAGAATTGGAAGATTGAAGTGGTAGATTGAAGAGTCTTAACATCTAGCTGTACTAATTTGTTCACAATATATAGTTATAAGTAAGTATTACGTTTTCGACTAAGATTTTTACATAATAATATTTTTCCATAGGTATTTGTGAACATTAGTTGAAACGTAATATTTACTTGTGTTATTTTATACACCATAACTTTGACCATAAAATTTAATAGTCATCATATTACTGAAACATTTAATATAATTTGAGACCTAAACCCTTAATACTAGGTTATGATGTACCATATATGTATATCCATATACCATTTACTATATTTAAATAGTTTGTATATATAAACCATCACGTCACAGTAGGTTTGAGCTATGCTCTTATATAAATTATGGGTGCAAAAAATATTTGCATGACAATTTTAAAGATATAGGTTATTTTTCAACATTTATAAATAATATATATTTATAATTACAATAATGGGAATGACTTGTGTTATCAACATTATACAATCCAATGTTTCCAAGTCTGATTCTGAAGTGTTCTTGACTTGATTGTAAAATAACTCTTGTCTTACCGTTTGGCAAGAGAACTAGTCGTTAAATTTTATCTCATCGCATTTGAAACGTCTTGTATTGGATCTCACCAAGCTATTTCGTAGGGAATCTTGCTGCCATCGCAAGAATCCACTATAAACTGATTACACTATACGCTGAGGTGTATAGCACATAAATTTACTAAGAAAATAAACAAGAGTATGGTCATGAGTTATAAAAGCCTTACATTCACGAACGTGATATTTCCTTGCCCAATTTTCGAACACAAATACTCTAAATGTTATCACTGTTATACATACACTTGTAGACTCTCTTTTGCTTATGTCTCTGTTCCACTAATGTTAACGAATACTCAACAATCATTCTACTTGACTATATTATGGCATCGACTGCCAAGTATTGCAAAAATGCCAAATACCCCATTAAATTTAGGAGAAGAATATTTTGTGCAGACGTAACGGTTATAATAATAATGAGCTAAATACCAAACCAATTTTTTATACAGTTATAATTAGGGACTTGATATGAACGTGGTGTGCAGTAATGATCCAACCCACAAACTGGTTAATATGATGATACCGAGGTTCAGTTTACAGTTTTGTGACGTGGTAGAGCAACTTTGCAGTCGTTTTAGGGTTTAGCACAAATGGTTTGGCTCTACTGGGGATGAACCACGCTGCCACATAATAACAGCTTAACGCTGCCGTGTTTCCTATAAAACCAGGCATCCCATCTTAGTCCTCAGGGATAACAAAGGATCTGCATTTTGATTTTTATTTGCGAATAAGTGTAGATGTCTATGGACCACAACATCCATTTACCATCAGGTGGACTGTGTGCTCGTTTATCACCATTACTCTAAAAAAAATTCAAGACTTCTGGAAAATAACGAGTAATTCCAAAATCTAATTCGATTTTCTGTAAAATGAGAAAGAAAAATGCATTTATCTTTCAAATCTGACTAATTTCTTGTTTTTACGGTTTCAAACTATTTTTGAGCAACACGATCCATTTTATGTATAATAAGTTAGATCTGGCCGTAACTACGCTGGTCCTGACCTCCTGTGTAAGCGCGCAACTTTTGGGCGCTATACTATGCTATACTATCCCCCGCGCAATTAATATCTCCCGGCACTATAAGAAAACCTTCGCCCGAATCGATTGGCGCATTTTCAGGAAGGCTTATCTCCGATAATGATTTCAAAAAAGATTATTAATGTACTTGTAAATATAGTTGCTTTCGCTTTTAATTATTACTTTTTAGTGACTAATTTTACATTAAACAATTTTCACTGCCGCCGCTGGTATGCTTATTTGATTTTTTGGTAGATAGATTAAAATTACTTTGAATTTTGAAGCGACAGTAGCCTAATGGCAGGGCGCGGTCCGCGAACTCAAAAATGTCGTGGGTTCGAATCCGCCATTCGACTACTGGCGTGAACCACTCGTAACACAAGCAATTTAAGCTTACCACGAGTGGTTAAGGGGAATATTAGTAATGTTTATAACATTGTTAATATTCTTTTTTTTTAAATTACTAAACACTGATAGGTACACTAAAATGATGTTAAAAATTTTGTCATTTGTCCACTTCTTTTAACCACGAAGATTATTTAATTAACGATACATTAATACATCGTTACATTCGTGAGTTTTTAGACCGTTTCGTAAAAGTAGGGCACAACGAAATGTAGGATTTTATCTCAATCTGAAAATTCAGTTATCTCAGATCATCCTTGATCAGTACCTACTGACACTGATAATGTCATATAGTTCATGCGTGATAGTATCTCTGATATCATATCCATAACACAGTTGAACATAGCTTTTTTGTTATTAACGTGTTCCTAATTGACATTTCACTATCAGTACCATTATCAAATTAACAAAACGCGCTCGTTTTTATCAATAAATAAATAGTTCTTTTTAATATGTGCAAGCATATATTATGTGTATATGAGTTAGTGCTATATTTACGTTTTTTTAAATATACCAATATATAATACTAGAATGCATTTAGTTATGGACTTAACCATTCGCTAATCACGACGGAATGATGCGACGTTTTAATGTTTTCTTTAAAAAGTAGTTTTATAGTAAGCCTGTATCATTGTATCTATTCTAATTTTAAAACTGAATTATTGCTAAAGATAGACTAAATGAATCAGCGTGTAGTAGCATTATAGCTATAGAGTCAGTGATGGATGAAGACATTGAACAGGTCAGTGCGCTTTTGATTTGTAAGGACAACGTGGTCCGAGGAATCTGAGAATTTATTGCTTTTATTCACTTGTTTGAAAATTTATTTGGCTTCTATCCAATCGAAAGAAACAACTGACCACTCACTGATGTGTTTTTGACGGTTTTAATTACAAATACAGATATAACTTCTGTAACCAAAACACTTGTTGATTTTTAGAAGTTCTTGTGATTTTACAACATTAAGAATTATAAAATAATTTTATCCTAACGTTCATTCATTGTTATTTACACACTTACACACTTGTACGAATTTGTATTGAGAATTATCAGTATATTTCATTTAGGTTTATTATGAGGACCAAAATACATACATACATACAACATATAAATTATTTTACAGGTTACAACTGCAATACTTCGAGATACTATAAGCTCATTCTGCGTAAAAAGTTAAGAATTTTAAACTGAAGGTAGTCGTAGTTTATAGAATAAGGGTGACAAACGAGCACACAGTCCACCTGATGGTAACTGGATGCTGTTGCCCATAGACATCACACATTTATCTTCAATTAAGAATCAAAATGTAGATGCGTTGTCAGTTGTCACCCCTGAGAAGATGGAATGCCTCGATTCCAGTAAAACGGGTCTTCGGTTCTCTACAATCACCATATGGGACACAGCAGCATTAAGCTGCTATTATACCCCGGTCTAGTCGACCCATTCGTGCTGCAACCACAATATAGCTGCAGCATGGGGACATTAAGTACCTCAGCACCCCCCATGGACCATGGATGCTGTAAAGTACTAGAAACGTCGGGAATATAATATAAGTTAATGTATGCGATAAAATCGGTAGAACTTAGTCTCATCACATATAGATCAAAACGGTTACTGGTCAAGGTTTGTCAAGGAGAATTTTAGACACTTTCTTTAGTTCACTTTTAAAACTACTACGGTTGTTTATCCGTGGAGAGTGAGAAAGATTGTCTTTAGACTCTTTGCTCAAACGACTAAACATTTCTTTTGATTCGTTTTGAGTTAAAAAAATATTTTAAAAGAAATGTAGAATTAATTATCTTCTGATTAAATTAATTCAATATTTTGATTATGCGAGGATATAAATTAAACAGATTAAAAGATCCAAGGGAGAAAGCTGTTTCAATAGAACACATACAGTATCCTTATGTAAATAACGATTTATTTATGCTGTGGATAGATTGGCACGCTCTAGTTCTTCAGACCCCTTTTTATTTAAAACTCCTGTAAGAATGAGTTGCATCTAAGTTCAGTACCAGGGGTACATAAATGTAAAAGATCTCTCGATGTGTTTTTAGGTACAAGATGCCTACGAAGAAGTCGAGGAGCAGCGCGCTGTTGCCGCCAGTTGGAAACGTAAACTGCAGAAACTCACCAACGATATGGCCGACCTAAGATCTCTACTCGACGAACAGGTAATCTGTCTCGAATTACGCTTTACACAAATTACGTATTTTGTTACTTTCACTTAATTAACATTTTATTATATTTCATTCTTCTTCATCATCATCATTACAGCCCTTCACAAGTCCACTGCTGAATATAGGCCTCCCCCAAGGTATGCCACCCTACACTTCGCCTACCGGTACGAGACTGCCACTCGAGAACCTTTTTTCCCCAATGGTTGTCGGTTCTTCGAGCTATATGGCCGGCCCATTGCCACTTCAGCTTATTACTTATTACTTCGTCTTCCTCACCAGCCCGTAATTATCTACTGCTCGACATCAGCCTCTTTTGTTGTAGTGAGGTTTTGGCAACGCCACGTCGATCGAGTCAAATCCTTTCTACAATCAGGCCACCTTGTGTAGCTTAACTCTTACTTGCAATAGACGAAGAAAAAAAACGGCATCCCAACAAAAAATGTTGTTTTTATATAATAAGGGTGACAAACGAGTACACAGTCCACCTGATGGCAAGTGGATGCCGTGGCCCATAGACACCTACATTTATCGTCAATTAAGAATCAAAATGCAGATGCTGTCACCCTTTTCGGTCCTCCACCGGTCCTCAGGACTGAGATGAAATTCCTCGTTTTCCGTAAAAAAAGTTCTTCATTTCTCTGCACTCTCCGTACGAAATATAGCAGCATTAAGCTGCGTTTTTACACTGGTATTCTTTGAGAGCGTGGTCCTCCTCCGTTCGAGTTGATCAATTCGTGCTACAGCCATAATATAGCTGCAGCGTGGCTCTGCCATGTAAACTATTTATGCTATACTTAGTACTATTTATGCTGCCATAAATTACTAGTCCGCTCACCATAAGTGTACGTAACATTAATTACAGTGCATTATTTATTTTATTAAACTGCGTTGATTTGTGTCTGCAGACATGCCGCAACAATCTGCTGGAGAAGCGTCAGCGGAAGTTCGACGCGGAGCTTCAAGCGGCCAATGAGGAACTGAAGCGCGAGCGAGCGAGCCGCGAACGACACGCGCGCGAACGCGACCAAGCGCTCGCAGACAAGTACGCACTCGAGCAGAGCCTCTCTGTGAGTGTACACACACACGATATTATATTACTTAAGTATGTAAGTAAGTTCTTGTAAATGGCGCAACCATTGGGGGCAATATCTGCGATTCCACGGTATTTTTAAACCCCACTAGCTTCCGTGACCATGACAACAGCTCATAATTGAAAAGAACTTACCATACCATACCATAGAATACTATAATACATACATAATAGAACGGGGGAGTGGGCGGAGCCCGCGTAGGAACTAAAATGTCACTAACACGTCAATTCACACGTATAAATGTCAACACGAGATGTGTTTTGACGTTACAATCGTTTCCAAATTTCGCATGAAAATTATTTAGAAAATGCGAAATTGCCTAGCCTATTTACAAATGGGTAGATTATTATTTACAAATGGTAGATATGTATTAAAATTTAATGACGATTTTGAACATTAATCCAAAGCTTCAGTCTGTCAACACAGCGAATCGGGTTTGGCGGCGCAAATCCTCGTATAAAATAAAGTTGACAGCCATTCTATTGTGTATTATAGTATTCTATGATACCATACCATACCATACTATACCTTACCATTACAGCCTGTCAAAAGTTGACTGTTGAACATGGATTATAGATTACCTCATAGATGCCCCTATAAGGCAATTTGTCATAGTGGGTAAGCAAATGCAGTTTATTATTTTTATTCAGTTGTTATCAGAAAGATGCTGCTGTTCATCTCCTGAAACGAACCTTCTTCCTTACTCCTGGGACAAACTTGCACTGTAAAAATACATATAGAATGAAGCTAATTTTACGGATTCTATCGCATTGAATAAAACTAAATTTACGAATTTTATCGCGTTTATTTCACTACTTTTACTTATTTTTAATTCCCGACGTTTCGGGTGCTTTACAGCAAACATGGTCACGGGGGGGGGGGGGACTGAGATGTTTGACGTCCCAATGTCATTGTTAGCCCGGCTACCTTCAGTTTTTGAATATTAATTTTTGGTCCGATTTACGCAAAACGAACTTACAGTATCTTGAAGTCTTGCAGTGGTATGCTTGGGTTTGGGTTTAATTTTGTTAATTATAGGATCCCAAGCAGATGGCAGCACCCAACCATCTTCTCTATTGAAATTTGGATGTTTTTTAATTTCAATAGCCTCGCGTATCATCCTTGGTAGGAATCGGTGTTCTTTTGCGAGGACTTGTGGTTTATCAAATCTGATGTAATGGTGGGGACGATCTTGCACATGTTCACAGACTGCAGACTTCTATCGCGTGCAATTTTAACTTTTTTTAATTCCCGACGTTTTGGGCACTTTCCAACGCCCATGTTCACGGTGGGACTGATGTGCTTAACGTTAGTTAACGAAGGCTACCTTTAACTTTAAATATTAATTTTTGGTCCGATCTACACAGAACGAGCTTACAGTGTCTTGAAGTCTTGCAGTAGTACGCTTGGGTTTGGATTTAATTTTATTAATTATGGGATCCCAAGCAGATGGTAGCACCCAGCCATCCTCTATTGAAATTAGGATGCTTTTTAATTTCAGTAGCCTTGCGAATCATCCTTGATAGGAATCGGTGTTCTTTCGCGAGTATTTGTCCTCTATCAAATCTGATATAATGGTTTGGACGATCCTGAACATCAGACCCGCGTTATTTACGCCAAACTCTCCCCTAAAAGTTCTTACAATTAAATTCACTGCTCTGACAGGCAGATATATGGTGGTAAATTTGAATGAGCTTTTTATACGAAGCTTGGATTTTCTAATTGCATTTTAAGCTTTAAATAACCTACGAAACTGAAATAGGTTTTATATAAAGTTCTGTCTAATTAAGCTTTTATCAGTAGCGGAAAGGAAGCGCTAACACCATTGACCCACGTGGTGTAACTATGGTAGCAAACAGGTCGAGTTCAATTATATATATACTACTGAAATAATTGTTAATAATCTAAAGAATATTATGAAAAATCTTTTATTTCTAAAACGTTTAATATATTGCTAAGATATAGTTTTCTCCTCTGTAATTTTTTGTATAATGTTATTTTGAGTATATTAACGTTTCGACATCGTAATGTTAACATTGCTGGCTTTTATATGTACTTTAACCCTTCAAGCGCCGTAAAAATCCCATGCAGTTGCATGCGCCCGGCAAATCCCGAGCGGACGCATGTGACCGCACCCACCCACAGCACTTAAAACCATTGAAATTTATATTTAGAGACTACATTTCTATAAGGAATTTAGCATTAATCTATACAAAATTCTCTATCCTGTGGTCTAAACAAAAGTTAGGTTGTACTTCATTACAAAAAGATTTTATTGTATTTTGATAACAGAAAAACATACCAAGCGAATGTCGGCAGCGTGAAAATCACAATTATTTTAATAAATATTATTTGAATTTATTATTATTTATTGCGTAAAAAGATAATTATATTCACACAAAAACTTTCATTACAATTTTGTAATAAAACATTATACTAAAACACTAATAAAACTCTAGAGAAATCCAAAAATCAACACAATAACATTTACGCGAAAATGGCGTACGAAATAAACTTATAAATAAATATTCATAAGATAATAGTTTTTATATTGCACTAGAGGATAGAGTACTTCATATTCCAAACCTCTTCATAGAAAAGTAGTCTCTATATATAAGTTTTATGGATTAAAGTATTGTGGGTGGGTGCGACCTCATGAGACCGCTAGGGATTTGACGGAATATGGCCGCGGTCTCATGAGACCGCTAGGGGGTTGAGAGGTTAATCATTAACTATGTTGGTTCATATTGTTTGATTTCGGTTCAACACGAATATCAGTCGAGTTTACGACTCAATTGTCAAATATTTAGAAATCATTGCTACGCTACTACGCCGTGACGGCTCCTTGGTGCCGTGGCTCAGCAATGAGTTGTAGCACTAAAGGCACTGGGTTCGAATCCCGCACGGAATAAGTATTTGTATGTCCTACAAATGGTTTTGGATGTTTGTCCTTGTGAATATTATGTATGTAAGCTGTCCCTACGATACTCGTTCTAGTGTGGTGGTTACGTTTAAGAAAAGAAAACTAAATTTCAACTTGAATGAAGAGAATCACGAGTAGGATAATTGTAGAGTTTAAGTAAATAAAATACAAATAAATTTATACTGAACAACTGTGTGCTGTATTCTGTGTCATTTTCTCGCAGGCTAAATTCTATAGATGTATATGTTTGTTTGTTCTTTGTGTCGCTTTTTCGTTACAAACCACAACGGTTCAAAAGAAGTTTTCACTTCAAAAATGACATGAATATAATGTTTTTGTATTTTTGTGTGGCAGGAAGCTCGGCTGGAGCTCGAGCTGAAGGAGGAGCGTTTGGCTGCCGCGAGCCGCGAGCTGGAGGAGCGCGGCGGCGGCGGCGACGAGCTGGCCGCGCTGCGCCGCGCGCGCGCCGACCTCGAGCGCCGCGCGCGCGACCAGGAGGAGGAGCTCGACGACCTCGCCGGACAGATACAGGTCAGCATTTTGTTCCATCATCTTCACCATCGTTACAACACATCGCAAACTCATTTCTAGACATAGGCCTCCATTAGCTCCAGTAGCATTGCGACAAATACGTTCCTGAGCCACCTGCATCCATCGACTTCTTGCGTATGAATTTTTTTTTCTCTTTATTTGTATCCAACAAATTATACACAATACTAACAAAAATATAATTCAACACGGCGACTATATGCTACGTGTTAATCTTCTTAAGTTAACAACAAGCGAAGTGATTTTTTTAAAGATAAGGAAACAGATAATAATAATATGATAATAAGTATACATAAATAAACAAATTTACTATAGCTACAGTTTGTGGATTTAATGCTTAGAGTCTATATAATATTAATAATAATAATAATAAATCTACTATATAATTTTATTGCATATTTCCAATTTGTTTTGGATCAAATACTTAAATCTAGACAACGGTGTATCCATTATGTCTATTTCTATTGAATTTTGATGTAACTTCGTATAGATTTGAATAACATACCAAATCCAAATTTTTCAACACTTTCGCTGTTCGATTTGCAGACACAATAGTAAAACAATAGCAATGAAAATATGTGAGTCACGGGAGAGGGAAAAGTTTAAAAAAAATATAAACAATCTTTAAAATTTACATAATATGAATAAAAGGATAAAAACATAATTTTTAGAATATGTTCTGTGTTGTTAACTCAAACGAATAACTTTTTTTAAAGTTAAAAAGTTAAAGTTACAGTCTATATACATCCCACTGATGGACATAGGCCTCCTCTCATTTCTGTGAAGGTTTCAGAGCAAGGAAATTTTCGTCCCGCTGCTTCAATGCGTATTGGCGAACTTCACATGTCTTCGAAATATTCTTTTTTCTTATTTCTCAGACATGCGTGTTTCCTCACGATTTTTTCCTTCACCGCCGAGCACATGGTAAATCAGCGCTTAAAATTGCAATTAACAATTTCATTGGTGTCGATTAGGATCGAACTCGGGTTGCTCGCGTACTGTAAAATTTACAGCGCAAACCATCTGTGCTACCAAGGCTACGTCAACTAATATACATAGTGTCACGCCTGTACTCCTGAGGGATCAGATGAAGACCAAAGAGTTTACCACAAAAATGGGATTGGTGATGATGGAACTTATGAAAGCTGGGTAAAAAACTAGCTAGCTAGCCTATCTCCTACGCAATTATATATCTAATATCCTACTAGTTGCCTTCTACGTCATGCCAGTCAATTAACACAGTAGGCACATTCTTTAAAATAAATATATTGTATTGTAAGGCGCTTTTAATTTTTGTTATTTAGCTTTTGGAGAGCTCGAAGCTGAGATTAGAGATGCTCCTAGAGCAACAACGAAAAGAAGCAAGGCTAGAAGCTGCCGCGCGAGACGACGAAATGGAAGAAACAAGAGCAAACGCCGCCAAGAAACTCAAAAGTAAGATTTCTTTTCTTTGTCTTTGTCATAATGTAAGTCCGCTACTGGTTATTTCGTATTGTAGAAAGGATTTTTCATAGTCGTCACACACAGCAGGCGGATTGGTAAACTAAGTATCGGATGCCTCGCACGCTAATCTTACAAGAGTTTAAACGAGATAATATACCGCAATATATTACCTACCATAAGACCTTTCCCATAGTCTTATCTTACGACACCCACGCAGCGAAGTGTGATGATAGATTCTCTTACGAAACCGCAAAAGTAAGGTTTTTCATTCATTCTTCATTGCCTTTCCCATATATTGGATAGTATCGTAGGGTTTTCCCTTATTTGCCATAGTTGCCGGGCTGCTGCCCATCTCCTGTTTTGGCAAACGCTTAATATTGTGGGCACAGTCTTACAACCGCTAACAGTCGCTCATCGAATACGTCTAGATAGAGCGCTCCCGAACGGCCTTTAGTAGCTCGGGAGCTGTCCGCTATGGTTGTCCTGTCACGCAAATAAAATGGTTAGCACTACATGTGCGGTAAACAAAACTGTGATCGTCCTCATTTAGTAATTTTCATTTGTCCTGATTTCATTTTATTTAATTTGTTTAAACGTGTAATAAAACAAAATCAGTTTTTAGTTTTTTTTTATTACATACTCTTCCGACAACCCTAGCAATTTATTGTGTAACATCAAACGCGATGACTGACTGTATGTTTTTTTAAGCTTTGGTATGGGGTAGTGGACCAGTGGACTAGGATCCTCTTATACCTCCACTACAAGGTTAAAAGTAATATTAAAAACGAATATCTTTTAATCTTACCTGTTTTTAACCTGTTTTTAATTGTGCTGCTTACCAATCTCGCAAATAATTATAAAAAATAAGTGTTTAGTTTATAATTGATTCAAATTCTTATGAACGTCACTAGCAATACTACTGACGATATTTGTGTATGTGTTTGTGTTGAACATTATTTTAAACTAAACGTTTCATTCCAGTGCTGGAAAGTCAGTTAGAGAGTGAACACGCAGAGAGAAGTCTACTATTGCGGGAGAGACACGAACTGGAGAGGAGATTGGCCGCACTGGAAGAGACCGCACGCGCTGAGAATCAGGAACAGGCGCAACTTGTTCAGCGGCTCAAGAGGTGACCATAGAGTGCATTCGTTCATTCGGTTATTCGTTCACTTGATCGTTTTAAATCATCATTTTATTTTACCTTTGCAAGAAATGATGTATGGTATTCTTTATGGGTCATAGAATGAGGAGCCTTAGCCGGGAGGATTTTTCGTAGTCACCTCCAAATCACCTCTTTCGACATCAACCTCTTTATATAACGTTTTAAAACTTACCTTTTTTTGAGATAGAGTGACAAACGAGCACACAGTCCACCTGATGGTAAGTGGTTGCTGTGGCCCATAGACATCCACATCTATGCTTGACTACGAATCAAAATGCAAATGCGTTGTCACCCGTGAGGACTAAGATAGAATTCCCCTTTTTCCAGTAAAAAGGGTCTCCGGTTCTCTACACTCACCATACGAAACACAGCAGCATTAAGCTACTATATTTTACGCTGGTATTCAGAAGTAAAAATTACTTGTAAGAAAAAGCAGAAAATTTCTGTACTTTCGGTTATATTTGCAATACATTCGAAAAAAATCCCTTTGTTTGTTATTTAGACTGTCTTACTAATAAATTTATTCATCAATACATATAAATATCATTGACACTTCAAATGTCGCGTAATAAAGAAAACTTAGGTAGTTATTTACATGTCATTACGATAGGAATAACCATTTGTTAAAAAGATTGTGTGTCTTCTTGTCTGTTAGATCGGGCTTATTTTGGCAAACAAATAAAGATCAATCCCAGGAGTGTAGAATACTTCAAGTTTACTGGATAAAATATAACCTACATTATATTTTATCTATATAAACTTGAAGTATTTTTGTGAAATCAAATATAGAATAAGTGTCCATTGAAGATCATCTATGAAAAATCTAACTAATGTCACATTAAATCTAAAGACTAAATGTTTCACTAAAGCTTGTATAAGTAAACAAGAAAAATGTTGAAGTCTTCTTCATTTGTTTCTAATTTAATATATACTCAAATTAATTACATTATTTTGTATACAGGGATCTCAAGAGGTATCGAGCTTTGCTCCGAGATGCTCAGACGATGCTAGAGCAAAAAGAAAAAGAGGGTGGTGCCAAAGCACAGATAAGACAATTGAAAAATCAGGCAAGTATTAACTTCATATATCTATTTTTAAAACGAATGGACATGAAACAAGAAATCCAGCGGGACTCTTTCAATGCCTAATACAATTAAGTATTAAAACATTTAAAAATAATGTATGAATCATGTGGTAGCTGACCGTTTACGGGTACTGTAAGACTCCACTACCCTGTATCGTTCCGTGGGTGTCGTAAGAATTGGCAGATGGAAACAAATCAGAGATAAGCAGCAGCGTTTTTATAATAACAAATGTATATATAAAACTGCGGTTGTATATTCGCTTGTTAAGCGTGGAAATTTTACCAAATATCTTTCCTGTGATGGAAGGTATGAAGAAGTTCGATGTTCAGTTGTGCACTGTTAGGGTCGATCCTCATTTGCTGTTCACAGTTCGTTCTCGGTCCGATCTCGGTCTGATTTATTATGTTATAGGAATGGGATTCGAGCCAAACTTGACTGTTGCGGATGAATGTACACACATATTTTTTCTTGATAATATTTTATCAGACCGAGATCGGACCGAGAACGAACTGTGAACGGCGTTATAATGAGGATCGGCCCTTATGGTCCTTCGAGCCGGATGATAGCGTTGGTTTTGTGTGGAGCAGGTGGAGGACCTGGAGCTGGCAGTGCGTGCGGCGACCAAGGCGCGCGCGACGGCGGAAGCGGAGGCAGCGGAGGCCAGCGCCGCGCTGGAGGAGGCGACGCGTGCGCGCCACGACGCGCATGAGCGCGCGCTGGCAGCAGCGCGCGACGCACAGACCGCGCGCGCCGCGCTCGATGATGCAGAGGAGGAGGCTGCAGAGGTACGCGCTGCACCTACTGCCGACTCCCACTTTTGCTTTTTATTTTATTTTTATGTATTTATTTATTTAGGTACGCAAAACTGACTAACATCAAAACACGGACAACATGAACGTAATGCGTGCAAATTAACGATTTGGGCGGTATTCCAAAACGTATGCACTTGATATTAGATAACAGTAACGAATTTAGAATACAAATACTTATGACCTAACCTAAATATGTATCTAACGATTTATGTTGTAGAATAATTTAGAAAATTAAATGTAATGTTAAATGTGAAAAATAAATTAAATGTTATGAAAACATTGTATTTACACCTGAGGCATCAACCAACAAAAAAAGATAGACGAAGCGCTGTTTTCATTTTAAGTGATGTCAAAACCACGCAGTCGCGCGCACAACCAATGGCAGATGTATTTCTTCTTTCTTTATTTATTAGCCTGTAAAAGTTCACTAGTGGACAAACATATCTATACACACCTCAAAATATGTTGTTGGTTACAAATTATTTTAAATACAAATGTATACATAAGTACGTATTCCTACAATAAGTTGAAGTAGATTCAGGCCTAACTTTTACGCCAGTTGAAATTTACACAGTACTCAGTCTTACTATTGTTAGTCTGAACTAGCGACACGTTCTTAACTGTGAGCATTCTGAACTTAACTGTAAGCATCGTTTATACTACACTATGCACTTACGGAAATTATATCACTGTCAAGCTGAACTTCCGCGTCACAATGTTATGCACTTACCTTTGGTACATTGTGTACGACGCTCGACACAAGTACAAATAATTGTCTCTGGTTTTTTCTTAAATTTACTTATTACACAAAAATACAGTCGGTTGTTCTTTATACAACTTTTACCAAACTGCAGGGCAGTTGGTTGGTGAATACATCACCCTCTTACATTTTATGTTCTGGTTTAACTGCTTGGCCATTTGCAATTTATTTAAAATGTAATAATGTGGCTGTAATATACCATTAAAATGTCCTCCAGACCGAATTTCGGCCACGGCGGCCTGCCTCAACAGAGGCTAGCCATCGGCGAAGGACAGGATTATAGTGCCCAAGTGTATGCGCAAGCACAGGTGCACCATCCCACTCTCGTAATCCGATGGGACGGTAAACCGAGCAACCGAGCAAACCGAGAGAAATCAGGCGCAGGACCAACGGCTTTACGTGCTTTCCGAGGCACGGGGGTGAGACACCGCCAACTTCCTGACTCCGGGCAACTACTGAGAATTTCTTGACAGAAAAATACAACAATTGATTTTTGGCCCGACCCGGGATTCGAACCCAGGACCTCATGATTAGCAGTCGCACATCTACAACCACTAGACAAACCAGGCAGTTAAATATCATCATCATCATCATCATCATCACAGCCCTTCACAAGTCCACTGCTGAACATAGGCCTCCCCCAAGTAATGCCACAAAGCACGGTCCTGAGCCACCTGCATCCATCGACTTCCTGCGTATCTTACCAGGTCGTCACTCCATCTAGTGGGGGGTCGCCCTACACTACGCCTACCGGTACGAGGCTGCCACTCGAGAACCTTTCTTCCCCATCGGTTATCGGTTCTTCGAGCTATATGGCCGGCCCATTGCCACTTCAGCTTACTAATCCGTTGGGCTATGTCGGTCAATCTGGTTTTACTGCGGATATCCTCATTTCTGAGTCTATCACGCAGAGAAACTCCGAGCATAGCCCTCTCCATAGCTCGCTGAGCGACCTTGAGCGTCCTCATACGGCCAGCAGTGAAGGACCACGTCTCTGATCCGTAAGTCATCACTGGCAACACGCACTGGTTGTACACTTTAGTTTTCAGAGATTGAGGTATACCTGACGAGAAGATATGTCGTAATTTCCCGAACGCTGCCCAGCCGAGTTGAATCCGTCGATTGACCTCTCGGTCGAAGTTGGACTTACCTAGTCGGACTATTTGTCCCAGGTAAACGTACTCGTCAACAACTTCGAGCATAGTGCTCCCAACAACTACCGGCATAGGTGTGACATGGACATTAAACATAATCTTTGTTTTGTCCATGTTCATCTTAAGACCTATCCGTTGGGAGGCACTATTGAGGTCATTGAGCATAGTGCTTAAGTCCTCCAGCGATTCTGCCATAAGGACTATATCGTCGGCAAATCGAAGGTGAGTGATGTACTCGCCATTGATGTTAATACCGTATCCTTTCCAGTCCAGTAGCTTGAAAACGTCTTCCAAAGCAGCGGTGAAGAGTTTCGGGGATATAACGTCACCCTGTCTTACACCTCTCTGCAGTTGGATAGGTTTCGAGCTCTGGTTCTGTACTCGGATAGCCATCGTAGCCCTACTGTACAAACACTTCAGCACTTCGATATACCGACAGTCAACTTGGCACCGCTGAAGGGACTGCAGCACCGCCCAAATTTCGACGGAATCAAAGGCTTTCTCATAGTCCACATACGCCAGGCAAAGTGGCAAATTGTACTCTTCAGTCTTCTGTACAATCTGCCGCAGGGTATGTATGTGGTCTATGGTACTGAAGCCTTTTCGGAAACCGGCTTGTTCGGGAGGCTGGAAGTCGTCGAGTCTGCGTGCGAGACGATTCGTAATGACTCTCGAAAACAGCACGTAGACGCGGCTCAGAAGGGAAATCGGTCTGTAGTTCTTCAAGAGAGCGTTGTCGCCTTTCTTAAAGAACAAGACCACCGCACTTCTGCTCCACGCCTCTGGAGTAGTGCCACCATGGAGGACGGAATTGAAGAGCTTCTGAAGGACTTCAAGTACCGGTGTTCCACCCGCTTTCAGAAGCTCCGCTGTAATTCCATCCTCGCCTGGGGCCCTGCCGTTTTTAAGGTGCTGGAGAGCCATTCTAATCTCGCTTAGACTGACGTCCGGGATATCATCGGAATAGTGTCGGATAAGACTTGCTCTTGGATCGTTACTCACACTTGCGTGTGGCTCCAACGATGATGTGTACAGCTGCCCATAGAACCTCTCAATCTCACTCAAAATCTCAGGTGTCCCGGAAACGATGCTGCCACACTCAGTCTTCAGCCTTGACAGTTGGCTCTTTCTGGCAGACAGATCTCTGGCAAAGACTTTGGAGCCCTGGTTCCGCTCGATCGCTTCTTTAATACGAGCAGTATTAAAGTTGCGTAAGTCTCGCCGTATGCATTTGGAGATCTGTCTGTTCAGTTGCCTGTATGCTGTCAAATCTGTTGACGATTGCAGCCTCATCTCCCGTCTAACAGCCATGAGATTAAGAGTGTGATCGGAGAGTTTTTGTGTTCTTCTGCGGCGGGTCTTGCAGAACTTAGCTCCGACCGCATGGACAGTTTCCACGAGCTTGTCGTTCATATCGTCCACTGCATTGCAATCTTCTAGGCACTGGAAGCGGTTACGTAACTCGAGCTGAAAGGTTTCGGGATTCTGGATTAGAGCACGAGGGGGGACGGAGCGTTGACTTCATTAGACGAGACCTCTCCAACTTAACGTTTAGGTTCAGTGTGCCTCTAACCATTCGGTGATCGCTGCCAGTTTTCACCCTTGCGATCACTGAGACATCACTGAACAGTTGGCGTCTGGTCGTCATAATGAAGTCAATCTCATTTTTTGTCGAACCGTCGGGGCTCGACCAGGTCCACTTCCTGTGGGGCCGCTTCTGGAAGAAAGAGTTCATCATAAAGAGTCCCTCTTTCTCCATAAAGTCGGCCAGCTGCTGGCCCCTTCGGTTCCGTTGCCCTACTCCAAATTTCTCTAACTTCAGCTCACCGTTTTCTCTTGTGCCTAGTTTTGCGTTGAAGTCTCCCATCAACACCGTGTAGTGGGTTTTGGAGGAATGTATGGCTTTGGAAATATCCTCATACATTTCCTCCACCTCCTCATCGGAATGTGCCGACGTTGGTGCGTAAACCTGTATGACCTTCAGCGAATACCGTTTGGTGATTCTGAGTATCAGGTACGCGACCCTCGTCGACACACTCTCAATCTGTACAACGTTGTTGACGAGAGACTTGTGGACGATAAATCCGACACCTCCTTGGGACAGATGGTCGCCCTCCCGGTGATAGAACAAGTTGCCGGATTCGAGAATCACCGTGTCCTCCCCCTCTCTTCGGACCTCGGATAATCCTATAATACTCCAGCGCAACTTGTCTATCTCTTCTTCCAGCTCCAGGATCTTCTCGTCAGTCCTCAGTGTGCGTGCGTTAAATGTTGCCAGGTCGAGTCGTCGTAGGTGGCAACCGAACCTCCACCGGAGATTCTTAGCACCCCCTGCCCCGCCGTTACCATGGTCGCCACCGTAGCCAGGAATAGCGGGGCCGCCGGGGACTGGGGGCCGTCTATTTGTGTAATTGTTCATGGGGGGTATATTGCCATAGTTGCCACGCTTGGCGAGCGGGTTGGCAACCGCAGTTTTTTTTGTCGTACAGTTGCTGTTATCAGGAAGATGCTGCTGCCCATCTCCTGCCTGTCTCCCTCTGTCGCCTCTTACGACACCCACGGGAAGATATGGGGTAGTGGATATTCTTAACCGCCACTACACGGCGAATATCATATATGGTAAATATCATATATACCATATATGATATTTGAATGTTTATATAATGATTAATAAAATGGGACAGTTGCTGAAGCGTTAAGTTAAAATGAACACACAATCAGTGAATTCAGATTTATTGCGCACAACGACATATTTAATTTTACTTTTGTCTTGTATTCGTTTGATAAATACATTTGCCAGTACAATTAAAAACAACTTCAATACATGTCAAAGTTTTCGCTGTATAAATGGTGGCTACTTTACTGTATATGGACTATTACGCATTTTTTGAAAGTCGACGTTTACGTATTTTTATCTCAATCCTTTTCACTGTAACGCTTTCTTTGTCATAATGGTTATTATTATTTGACCGGCGTGATACGAGTTTCATGTCTGAGAAAATTTGTCTTAATCACCACGCTTAGCGAACGAACAAACGTCACCCACCTTTGTGACTCGTAACCTATCTGGGTATTTACGTGTGACACTGAGTTATAAACGAACACCAAAAATTGTTTATTTAAACGCCCCCATTTTACAAACAAAGTTTGACTTTGTTTACTGTTTTTTCGTTTATTTCTTTTTACCCGACGCCACAGAAGAAGGATAATGATTTTCGAAATTATGTTTGTAGATAGTGTGTTTCTTTGGCACTTTCTGTAGTCCAAACGGCGTAGTACGTATGTATTACCCGTGCAGTTAAAGAACGGGATTGAAAATGGCGTCACCTCTATTCGCCTCTCGCTCCTACACTGTCGCTATCTATTCTTACATCCGCCGGTAAAGTACTACAAAAAAGTAAAGTACTCTGAAAACTCGGTATGATATGTGTTTTTCGTACGTTCTATAACTACAGTCCAACTTGTCATTGGAATCAAAGATAGCAAAATGACATAAACTACAAAAAATATCTGTCCAGTTTTGATAATTTGTGAGCTACGATGGGTTTTGAGTTTTCTTTAATATATATTATTATTGTAATTGCTTTTTTTTTTGTGTAATATATTTGCATGCTGTTGAGACATGAGTTTTAAAACTATTTATCGGAAGTCTCAGTTATTTATCGGAATCGTTGAACCGATTGTAATAAAACTTTGCAAAGAAATAGAGGGTAATAGCAAGTGTGATTTATATTGAATTTTATTCGAAAAATTAAGAAATTTAATTAAAATGGAAATATTGTTAATTTAAAATAAATGTTTTTTATTAGTCTTAAGTGTAAATAAAGTTAAATTAATAGATCTCAACCAGGCTAAGAGAGAGCGTTTCTTTAAAATTAATTAACCTACTTGCTTATACAGTTGTTTTCAAATATTTTCCCATTAATAGAAAATTACCAATTAACTGAATAATATGACGTTATAACTATAAATCGTTATTAGCGGGTTTTGCTATTGGTACTGAGCATGTTGACGGTACGGGCTCGATGAGCTGCTATTTATAACCCCATTCTATTTGTACGGGTTGTATACATCTGAATTTAGTCTTCATTATTTTTCACGCAGTCAAGTTTTTTAATTACTGTTTTAACCTTTAACTGTTCAACAAGTTTTTATTACTTGACCTGTGTGTATGCTACGTACTTATGCAGTTTGACTTTTGGGCATCTCAATAATTTAAAATTGTACATATTTATCAAGTACCAGTGACAATTAAATAATCCGATCCGAGTGTGAAGTAGTATTGCCAGTAGCAGTATAATCATTAGTTTAACAATATGAGTGTGCGTTGGCAGCTGCTGAAGAAGTACCGCAGCTGCAGCACCGCGCTGTGCGCGGCGCAGGCGGAGGCGCGCGAGGCAGTAGCGCGCAGCGACGCAGCAGCAGAGGAGGCGCGCCAGGCGCGGGAGCGCCTCGCCGAACTGGCGCAGCGCCTCGCGCACGCCGAGGCCGGCCACTCGCACGGCCACAGCGAGGCCGAGCGCCGCCTCGAGCTGCGCAACAAGGTACACCTCGCCTTAACTACTTATCTTTCAACTGAAACTACTTTACCGACCTAGTCGAGGAGTTTAGTACGTTATTAAAAAGCAAAAATGTCACGTTTTCCTGCAACGTTTCACCACCGGAGTTGCATTATATTCATTCATTCATTTATTTATTTATTACTGCCGTTCACAAGTCCACTGCTGAAAGAAAAAAATGCATAAAACAAAAGGAAGACAAGAAAAGGGAAGAAAACAAAGGGAAAACATATGTAAATAGTTTAATATATAGAGAAAAAATGTATTTAACTATAAGAAAATATGTTAGTAGTCTTAATGTAGTACATCTGGGTCACCGGTTTATGTAAATGAGCTGAGAAAAAACTTGGAATAAAAAAATTAAAAAAAGATATTCCAAAAATGTTTTGCTATGCAATGTCTGACCAGGGTCAGACATGGACATTACACGTGATCCTTGTTTTATCCATGTTCATCTTAAGACCTATATGGTGGGAAGCACTATTGAGGTCATTGTGCATAGTGTTTAGATCCTTTAGTGATTCTGCCAAAAGAACTATATCGTTGGCAAATCTAAGGTGAGTGATGTACTTGCCATTGATGTTAATACCGTATCCTTTCCAGTCTAGTAGATTGAAAACATCTTCCAATACAGTGGTGAAGAGTTTCGAAGATATAACATCACCCTGTCTTACAACTCTCTGCAGTTGGATTGGTTTCGTACTTTGGTTCTGTACTCGGATGGCCATCGTAGAATTACTGTACAAACACTTCAGCACTTTTATACACCTAGATAGTCAAATTGGGACTGCAGCACTGCCCAAATTTCGACAGAATCTAAGGCTTTCTCATAGTTTACCTACGCAAGACAAAGTGGCAGATTATATTGCATGCATTTTTGGTTATTAATAGAGGATAGATGTAGTGTATGAGCTACAGTATCCATTTACCTTTATGGACTGTGTGCTCGTTAGTCACCCTTATTCTATCAAAGAAAGCACGGCACCTTATGTGAACCGCGTGCGCAGGAACTGGAGTCGTGCGTGGAGCTGGAGGCGACGGCGCGCGGGCGGCTGGAGGGACAGCTGGCGCGCTTGCGTGACGCGCACGACGCGTTGGCGGCCGAGCTGGCGGCAGCGCGTGCGCGCGACGCGAGCCACGCGGACGAGCTGCGCAAGCTGCAGCGCACCATCAGGTGACGTGTCTCCCCACTGCCACAGTCTAACTACTGATAACAGCTGGCGACCGAGCTGGCGGCTGATCTCTCGCGTGACGCGAGCCATAGTAACAGAAAAAGTTTTTTTTAAATTATAAATTAGATTATAAATAATACTTTTTGAAAGTCACTCTTTTGTTTAATTTGCCACTGCTTCGCTAAAAACATCTGTCCCAGGGAAAAATCAGCAAGAAACCCAGCGGGACTTTTTTGAAATCTAAATAATAGCTTTGGTGAAAATTACGTCAGAATTCGTTACGAAGATGGATGATATATAGATACACGTGAATCTTATAAAAGCAAGTTGATAAATGATACGTTTATCCGTTGCGCAGAGAGCTTAAGGAGGAGAACGCGGCACTGACAGCGAAGCTAGGCGAGGTATCGCGTGCACGAGCGGCGGCCGAGGCGGCGGCGGCGGCAGCGGCGAGCGAGGCGGCGGCCGCGCGCGACGAGGCGCGGCTCGCCGCGCGCCGCGTGCACGCGCTGCAGGAGGCCATCGCCGGCGACCTCTCCAGCAACAACGAGCGCGACTCCGACAGGTGACACGCACTATACATTACACACTACGCACACGACGGCGGTGAGGCAGCGGTCAACACTCAATAAAAACGAGTAGCATATGTATATGAAGATGAAGAAATGATGAAGAAAGTTTCTCGAGTGGCAGCCTCGTACCGGTAGGCGTAGTGTAGGGTGACCCCCCCCCCCACTAGATGGAGTGACGACCTGGTAAGACATGCAGGAAGTCGATGGATGCAGGTGGCTCAGGACCGTGCTTTGTTGCATTATTGGGGGAGGCCTATGTTCAGCAGTGGACTTGCGAAGGGCTGTAATGATGATGATGATGATGGTATGTATATGATTGTATACATATATTAATTCATATGTATATGAACATGTATACAATCATAACGAAGTACTATACTATTAAAAACGCTATTAAAAACATTAACTTCATACGATTATAGACACGATGTTGATCTACTTTAAGTTGATTTTGCTGTACATTACTTAGTACTCGAACAATTCGTCACTGACGTATTTGTCTCTTTGTGGCTTCAGCGACAAATTGTATGTGAAGCATTATAGAAGAAATATAAATGCAAAACACTCACAAAATATTTTTTTATTTCAGCGACAACGACAGCTACAGTTCTGACGAGTCAATAGGCACATTCCTGGCGAATCACAAGCTCAGTCCATCTGTACCATCAAGAAATAGTGTGCAGCTTGATTCACAAAAGTAAGATGCATAAAATTATTTGCATACATTTTGAAAATAACAAAGGCAATTTATTTATTTACTATATTATTTTCATGATCAGTAGTAAACAAATTCACCTCTGACAGGCTTGGCGACAAATACGAAAGTAATATAATAATAATCATAAATAACCTAAAGACAGAATAGCAACATTTTTATATGAAATTCACTTTACTGTGTTGACCCTTCAGTCCCCATAAAAATTCCATGCAGTCGCATGCGTCCAGCAAATTCCGAGCGGTCGCATGCGACTGCACCCACCCACAGAAATTTAAACCATTAAAAGCTATATTTAGAGACTACTTTTTTATGAAGAAGTTTGGCATTATAAAATCTATACAAAATTCTCTATCCTGTGGTCTTAACAAAAGTCAGGTTTTACTTCATTACAAAAATATTTTATTGTATTTTGATAACAAAAATATACATACCAAGCGGATGTCGGCAGCGTGAAAATCACAATTATTTTTGTATATTACTCGAAATTATTTACGTTACGATAAATTATATTCACACATAAACTTTCATTACAATTTTATAATAAAACACTATACTAAAATACTAAAAAAATCCAAAAATCAACACAATAACATTCAGACGAAAATGGCGTAGGAAACAAATGTAGATAACAAATAAATATCTACTACTACTGACTTTTTATTCCACTAGAGGATAGAAAATGTCATATTGAGCCTATAATGCCAAACTTCTTCCTAGAAAAGTAGTCCTTAAAGATAAGTATTTATGGGTTATGTACTGTGGGTGTGTGTGGTCGGATTCGACCACTTGTAATTTGACGGAATATCGCCGAGGTCGGATCCGACCGCGTGCCCATCGAGAGGTTAACTGAATGCATTCTAAATTAAAAAAAGAAGAAAAACTGGTAATTTTAAACTGCCCAGGGCCCTATAAGAAAAGGACCTCCGTAATTGTAACTTTTATAAAACCCTGCATCCATCGACTTCATGGTACTCTTACCTAGTCGTCCAACATTTTGTCGACCTACACTTCGATTAACGGTACGAAGCTGCCACTCGAGAACACTTCCCATTCGGTTGTTAGTTTTTCGAGCTATATGGCCGGCCCATTGGCGTTTAAGCTTACCGATTTGTTACACTATGTCGGTTACTCTGGTTCCACTGCGACTTCTTATTACGAAATCTATCCCGCAGATAAACTCCGACCATAGCCCTGTCCATAGATCGTTAAACGGATCTTGAGCTTCCTCATACGACCTACAGTAAAGATCATGTCTCAGATCTATATATCATCACTGGCAACACGCACTGGTTGTACTTTCTTGTTTTCTGTAGGTGTGGCCTGTATAATCTTTAACTAATACCATTTGGTTATTCTAAGTACAAGGCATGAAACTCTTATCCACACACTCCCAATCTTTACAATGTTGTTAACTAGAGACTTGTGAACGAGACAGCCGATACATGCTTGAGACAGATGGTCGCTATTTCGTTGATAGAACAAGTTGTCATATTTGAGGATTATCTTCTCCTCACATTTCTTCGGGACCTCTCACATTTCTTCGGGACCTCGTATAAATCAACAAAACAGAAGGTGACAACTGAATCTTTACCGGAGATTTTCAGCACCGCGGGGGGTTTTGCATGGTGGCCACCGTAGCCGGAAATGGCGTTTCTTTGTACCTTTCATCATGGGGATAGAGATATTGCTGTCAACCGCCTGACTTGTCATATCTTATATCCACATATCGATTCATGGATGTAATATATATTACATCCATGAACCGATATGGGATACTAGATATTCTTACCCCGCCACAACACGGTTGAATACATATTATACCAAATAGAAAAATTTTTGGACTTGTTCAAAAATTATTTGTTCATTGGCGTTTCTAACATAGTACTGAACATTAATCCTCAACTTTACCATATATTTATTTCAAAATTAATGCCGCAGTATTTTCGGCATAACGGAGGATCTTGCTAAGCCATTTGAGGTAGTATTTTTAATATTTCCCCTTAAAGTAAAATTTTAATTTCCCATTCAAGTGTGTGTGATGTAAGGTGTAAGAGAAATGGTGGAGTGGTAAATAAGAAAACATAAATTAATATAAATTTATTTATTCATTAAGGACATCTTACGTCTTACTCATTAAGGACATAATACGTGGTAGAGCCATACTGCAGTTACACTAGTAGTATAGTCGTAGCATGAATGGGTCGGCTCAACTGGGGAAGGCCGCGCTCTCACAGAATACCAGCGTCAAATAGTAGCATAATGCTGCTGTGTTTCGTATGGTGAGTGTAGAGAATCAGAGAACCTTTTTACTGGAAACGAGGCATTCTATCTTAGTCCTCGCTGGTAACAACGCATCTGCATTTTGATTTGTAATCGAGGATAGATGTAGATGTCTATGGGCCGCAGCAACCACTTACCATCAGGTGGACTGTGTGCTCGTTTGTCACCCTATCCCTTAAAAAAATAACACAATATTGTTGCATGAATAAGTCAACTAGCGCCATCTAGTGTCAGGAACGAGAGCGAGGGGAGCATTGAGAAAATGACATCACAAATCTCTCAACTGACAGCGCCTAGTCGAAACTCGAACGCTCGGTACCTTGCCCGTGTTTACTTGAACATTCTGGATATTTCTTTGCTAATTTAAATATATAGGCGCTGCAAGATGCGATCGAGTGTAGTGTTGATTTGGCGAAACAAGCGAAGCTTCGGAGTGGAATTAAGTGAATTAGTGTGTTTAAATTCTTAGTGTTTTAACTTTAATTGTGTAAAGTAAATTAAAGTGTTAATTTAGGTAATTTTATCGGCAATTTTTATTGTCACGAACCTCAAGCTCGTAACAATTGGTGTCAGAAGTGGGATCAAATCATGCCGATTTTACCTAAGGAAGAAACGGAGGGCGTCCGTACCCGCAGTCAACGCCAGCATGAGACGGACCAGCGGAGATTTGGTGGTGCAACGGCGCAGATGTCGGAGGGCCAACTGCCAGCCACGGAGGCTGCGGGCCCGTCATTAGCTCCTACATCTGCAGCACCTGACTTAGGTGCTCTGATGGCGATGCTACAGGAGCAGCTGCAGCGCGGACGAGAGGAACAGGCCCGTCTGTTGAAAGAGCAGCAGGAGGAACAGGCTCGCCGACAGGAGGAACAGGTCCGTCAGTTGAAAGAGCAGCTGCAGAGCGGACAGGAGGAACAGCTCCGTCAGTTGAAAGAGCAGCTGCAGAGCGGACAAGAGGAACAGACCCGCCGACAGGAGGAACAGATGCTCCTCATGAAGGACCTTCACGCTACCTTCGGGAAGGAGATAAAGGAGGTGAAGGATAGGGTTGCTCAGCATGACAAACGCCTGTCGGAAGCTGAAACCCAAATCGCGAAAGCTGAAAACCGAATCGAGAAAGCTGAAACCCGAATCGACCAAGTAAACAATCGGGTTGACAACGTAATGGCTGACATGAAGAAATCACTGGACGAACTCAAACTTGGAGATGGAGCTACAGCTCCCGTAGTAGCTATTACACCTTCGCTACGTGGGTTCAAGGTGCCACCATTCGACGGGACTTCTTCCTGGTCAGCCTACAAAATCCAGTTCGAGGCTGTTATGAAGGCGAACGGCTGGAATAAAAGTCAGGCCATGACTGCTCTCACACTAGGCCTGCGCGACCAGGCCTTAACAGTTCTGGAAGCTCTCGGTGAGGAAGTGACTTATGAGCAACTCCTTGAGGCATTGGAGGCGAGATATGGCGACGCTCACCTGGAACACGTCTTTCGTGCGCAGCTTAAAGATCGTGTGCAGCGCATCAACGAAAACCTGCAGCAGTGGGCTCTAGAAGTGGAGAAGCTGGTGCGAAAAGCATACCGGTCTGTACCTGCGCTCATTGAAGGGAACCTGGTGCAGACATTCATCGACGGCATCCGCGACCTGGAAGTCAGAGCTGCTGTGAGGCTCGGGCACCACGAGACGCTTAAGGACGCCTTGGCCCATGCACTGGAAGTGGAAGCCGTGCGGCAGGATCATCGTTCCCATCGCGTCAGGGAGGTTGCAGCAGCTACAGTTCGCGACCGCAACAAAGGATACAGCCCAAGGTGCTATGGCTGTGGGGAAAAGGGCCATCTTCGATCCAGCTGCCCTAAGCGAACCCTAGAAAGGGAAATTGAACGATCTCAGGAGGGTAGTGCGGCCAACAGCACCGCCCAGCAGCGGCAGGGAAACGAGTAAAAGCCAGAACTGCGGGGCGGGTGCTGGCTGATGTTAAAAGAGCCCCAAGGATCTCGATCTCACAAACCCATGATGGGAACAGCCTAATCATAAAGGGCGAGATCAACGGAATGCCGTGTAAGCTGACCATAGACACTGGAGCCTCTCGTACGGTTGTTAGTTCCCAACTTATAAGTCAGTTCCTTGGGGACTCCGCATACAACCGAGAACGCCTTAATTTGGTAACAGCCACCGGTCAGCGTATACCCGTCCGTGGAGAGAAGGAGATGGAGTTGAAGCTAGGCAACGTGATCTACCTGCATAATGTCATCGTGGCTGATATAATGGACGACTGCATCTTAGGCCTAGACTTTATGAGGAATAATTGTTGTGAGATCGACGTTAAGCAAGGTGTTTTGAAATGTGGACAGGAGGAACTTTTTATGGAAGGTGCGTTACCAGGGAACGTGTACAGCATCAAGAAGATTGTTCTTCCGCCGAGATCGGAAACGATTGTTCCGGTTAGTCTACCTCGAAACGCTGGGCAAGCTCACCGTTGTGTACTTGTGGAAAGGGTAAACAATGACCTTCCATGGAAAGTAGCTCGAACCTTGGTCAGGACCACTGACATCTCAGGAGTACGTGTGCTGAACCTTTGCGACCGGGAACAGATTATAGAAAAAGGCACACTGGTTGGTACTTGTGAGGAAGTGGATTGGTTACGTCAGTGCCAATATATATCGAGTGGGACCCCCAGCAAGGATTCAGAAACGAGAGTGACCACACTTT